TAAAAAAATCTTCAGCTGATTTTCATCGATTTGCATCAATTAAAATCGATTTTTCTCATCAAATTTTAATCGATTATAATCAAAATTAATCAGAATTAATCGAAATTATGTATGAAATTTTGATTTTTTTGATTATTTTTGATAAAAAATCGATTAAAAGGTGTATGATTTTAATCGATTTTTAATCATTTATAATCGATTTTAATCTGATTTTTGCGCCTAATTTTTTTTTACATGGGTTGTTACTCAATCTTTAGGAATGCATGTTTCGCCACTGATCTACATTTATCGAGAACCATGTGTACTCCAATTTTCAGCTCAATAGCTTGCATAGTAGCCGAGATCCAAGGGGGATACTTTTGTCGGATACTGTAATTTGTACTGATGGTGCCTGCTATACTTAAAATAAACCGATTACATGATAGTGCTTTGTTTCACCGTAATTAACATTATAAAAATATCTGGAAGACCTTTTTTGTTTTATAATAGGAATTTGTTCATACAGGTTTTGTAGAACTTTCGACGGCGCATCTTCTGAAAACAAAATCAAGGCGTTATTATGTTCTCAAGTCGAGGTATTTGCAAACTAAAAAAGTTCTTCCAGATATTTTTATTATGCTAGTAACGGTGGAATAAAGCACTATCATGTCACCAGTTTATTTTAAGTATAGCAGACACCATCAGCACAAATTGATAGTGATTGGTTCTTACATTTTTTGTAGAGCTTTTCACGGCATACCTTTAAAAAAAAGATCAAGATTATATGATTTACCTGTGTTGAGATATTTGCAAAATACTAGATGTCGCAATCATGATACTTCACCCAGCATATTTGCAAATTTGTGCTTTTTTTAGTTGGAACTTGTAATATTAAATGCATTCTAACATTTTGTCATTTATAAGGATCTTGAAAAGCTATGAAGGTATGTTGCGTTGCATTTTTTTAGAGCGGCAAGTTATGCATATCTTGAATAAAAAATCAAGATTCTGCCACTCCTCTTGGCTGAGATGTGTACAAAACTAAAGTTGTGTAACATTTTGAAATACTCATTGTAGTCCTAAGTCCCAGAAAATGCAGACAAGATGCACGAAACTGCCATTCTTCGCAATATAACTCGAATTACATAATGGCTGAGCTTTATTTGATCTACAAGAAAAGACCATCGCTTACCCTGTAGAATATATTTTGGATCTTGAACAACCTGATAGTAGATTGCTTCGTGAACATGTGAGCCCAAAACAGTGACAATAGTCAGCAGAATAATTCGTTTAGCAATTTTGGGTTGTTTTAACCAGGCGCCTTTTGGGTACATCGTCACATAAACTCGTTCAATTGCAACCAATCCTGTGAGCCAATAGCATGTTCTAGTTAATGCTGACAAGAGAAAACTGATTGTTTTACACAGCATCGTATTTATTAGATGATTGGAAATCAAACCTTTGGTGCCAAGAAGAAGATGAATGATTTTTAACGACAGCATGAATAACGCTAATTGTGATGTGATACTGTTCACAAACAAATAGTAACCGACGCCAATTGAGCTTGGTTTCGGTCGTCGAAACGTAACAAAACAGGAGAGATTATTAGCCAAGCCAAACAGAAATAGAATTGCGATAAGAATTATGAGAATACCCAAGAATAATTTTTGTACTACTAATGACGATGAAAACAAGTCATCGGTTAACAATGATTCTAAACTGAAGCTTAACACTTTCGTATTATGCTGGCAAATGCTGCCAAAGAAACAACGTGGACACATGCATTGAAAATCAGATTTATCGTTTGGTTGACCTTGTAAACATCGACCGTTGCCCAAACAATGTTGACATGAATCGATCAATTTGTTATATCGAAAACACTCAGCTTTTTTTGTTGGATCACATACACAGAAATAATCATCATCATGGAAACATAGAACACCGAATTGACTACACAGTGTATGATATTTGAACACAGATAGTGATAATGTGAAGTTCGACATAGTTTGTCTATTCTCCGGCAATACTGCAAAAGAGAAGGAGTTCAAACATCAATCAGAAAGAATCAAAACTACTGCATGCATACTTTGTGCAAAATGTTGAACATCAGATTTGTTTTGTGAAAGTAACGATTGTGCTTTTGGACAATAAGATTCAGCATTCAGTGATGTTGTAATATTAACATTATGTTGATTTTGCTGAATATACAAGAGAAAATATTCTGACTGAATCTGTCGACGATCAACTTCGTCTGTCAGATATTTATAATGTAACTTTAAAATCCCAAGAACAGGGATTTGTTTTTCGTTATGTTCAATTATGGAATAGTGCGGAACTTGTTTCTGGGCTATTTGTCTTTTGATAATTAATTTTAACGAAACTGGATCAATATCATACAGTTGTAGAACACTTCCCATTGACCCCGGTCGTGATGCAATTTGTTGAATAAACGTTCCATTTTGATTAATTTTTATTTCAATTTTGCCGGACGAATATTGACACCGATTGCCATAGTACTTCATGGTACAGATGCATATGTGATCCTCGCTTGCACGTAGTTCATACGATGGAGTAAATGAGCCTCCATTTAAACACAGAGAGTTCGTTTGATTCGATGAATTATATGTTAAATTACATGATGTTCCGAACGAATAGAGTGGACATCGTGATGAATTATTTGCGACACTGTGGAAATATTTTGTTGTTTTACTAAAATCTAACACTTTTGCTATACGGTGTGAGGGTAGAAAACAAAATGGAATAGAATATCGCCAAATAGCTAATAGTTGAACTATGCCGCTGTCACCCAAATCAAATGCTTCGAATTGAACACTATACGATGCGTTCGTTAATTTCGGTTTCGGATATGTTAAATAAAATTTATATTTCTTTTGTTGAACAACATATGGTTTTGCATGAAATACCTCAGTATCCAAGATTTTATTCTCCAATAAAAGGGTTCCAACAATTTTGATCATAGTTGTTGTATTTGGAACATTTGATAATTGTGTTATTATTGTTAGTCGATCGGCAAAATATTGACAAAATTGGCCATATAAACTTGGTGGGCAAAGGCATTCGATAGTCGGCAATGATTGATTGGTTGGCCAGTGCTTTCTGACTGCTACACCTCGATTGCATATCCATGCTTCGCTTGAATGACGTCTGACGTAATCTTGATATTTAATACGTTGTAATTCGGTTAGTTGATTCATAATGACTTTTCTTCCAAAAAACCCTTCTAGATTTTCAAACTCACTTGGTATGAGTACTTTCGAGTCTGTCAAATATGAACTGTTGTTTTTTATAACATTCTCTTCCTCAAGATTTGGAACACGAGGTAAGTATAATGTATGTTTATGTTGTTGTTCTTTGTATCTGTATGCTCTAGTAGCCAGCAAATCGTCCGGATTACAGTGATAATTTTCAACAACACTGTCGGATCGACAAATTTGTTTACGGCACCTTGTCTCATTCCAGGCACCGCAACGTTCAGAACGTATCGAATTATAATAAGCAGGTAATCTGTCACATAAAAGATTATCTTCACCATTTTTACATCGCTGCTTGCATTGCTGATTGTAGGGAATGCATTGATCACTGCTATTCGTACCACATTTGAAATCAAAGCCCTTCATTCGATGTGAACTGGAACACGTTAGAAGATTTCGTTCATCTAAACCACCATAACAATCGGTAATGCTGTCCCCAATTTTTGACAAGGGTATGCATGGACGATTGACCGTAAAATTCAATGGATCATCGACATTTGCTAATAAACATGGAAACTCTGTGCGATAATGACACAATTCTCGATATAGCCATGAACCTAGCGGCTGATATTGATACACAAAAACACATTTCTTTTTCATATCTTCAAGATCTATTATGGCTCGGTTGTGTTCCGATAAATATTTTATTGTATAAATGCCTTGTTCATCACTTGCGTCATTACAATCCCACACATTGTCACACACATATTCCACTGGAATACATTGTCCAGATAAACATTGGTATTGATCGGAAGGGCATTTCCATTCTTTACAGAACACAGAAGACTCATCGATGCCGAATTCCAATTGCCAGAATGTGTCACAATATTCATGAAACCCAATTTGGTTGTCAAACTCACCAATGCCGTCAGTGGTCTCGTTCCTCGAATTTATTGATACTGTAGAAAACGACGACCGTTGAATATAATTTCGAAGTGTTTCACACTCTCTAGAGCCGATTACTGCGCATAAGGAATTTAGTTGGATATTGATGTCATTTATATATTCATCATGATTTGTTGTGCGACAATCAACATATCCGTTGCCAAGCATTTGTGGAACAAAACATGTTTGATCATCCAATGAACACTGAAACCGATCTTTTCGCACTGATAATGGACAAAAGGGGCTCTTTTCATCTTCACCGCCAGCTGAACAATCAAGAAGTCCATCTTGAATACGATAACGAGAAATGCATTTATCTGTTATTGGACAATGATATGATTGAAACTTTTCAGATTCACTCGAACAGCTCTTATTGTATTGAGGGCCCTCCTCATTTTTCAATATTTTATGATGATTACAGATGTATGAATCAAGATCGTAGATGTTATCCATAAACTGAGCATACAGTAGTTCAAAATTATCACTAAAACCTTGAAATCCATTACATTTAACACTGTATTTAAATTCAAATGTTACACGAAATGGATAAGGTGTATATTCACTCATATCATAAACCAGAAGAAGATTCAGATATGGTTTCCATAAACGTCCACCAGGATAACTAATTGGTCCTCTTTTACAATACCGGTGATAGTTATCACTGCAATCATAACCATTACAATGGCATTTTTCGTGTAGTTTTCCTCCGTGAGCCATTAAACACTTTGTATAAAATAAACATAACTGCTCATCCGTATCAGGTGGCATTGTTGATCCACCGTGTACCAAGCAATGACCATTAACAGCCATAGTCCACATTGATTTTACTTCATCCTCTTCACATGCATAGTTTTTGTCTCGATAGTTTGCACAATAATCATCTGCCTTTTTAAAACGGAATTCATTATCAGCAGCATGATCATAGTTATAAACGACTTTTTCATGCCTCGATCGTTCATCGAGAAATTGACCGTCGCCGCAAGAAAAATAGCGACTGTGGAACAAAGCTTCATCACAATTAAAATGATCCGGTTGAAATGGACATATTCTTGACTTTTCAATATTATTACTAAACTGTTCATCCGTACCATCCATACAATCACGATCACCTAAGGAAAAGAAATAAATACCACTCGGTTTTGGTGTCAATGCCGATGTCTCTCATAAAACAAATTAGCATCCGTTAGTAAATAGTGAGAAATGCCAATCTTAACACGACTCGTGTGAATTTTGAAAATTTCAAAATCGAATGATCCGTAGATAGATGTATAACCTTTTTGTAACTATTTTTACTGTTGACTAAAAAGTAAATATAGTTATGAGGGATTACACTATTTATAAATCGGCTCTGCGTTATGAATAAAGACTGCTTTCTACATCAAGCTATTGATTATAATAGATCCGAGATTTTGTATTGTATCTAGACAAGACATAGTCTATTATGTTCCATCTCCATGAATGAGTAAAGCGAAAGGAATGTGCCTCGACAATTTTATGAACCGGCATACGCTTAGATCATAATTGATGTTCTATCCCACACAGATAAAGAAGTCTGATTCCTCAAAGAATTACTTTTTCCGTGACACAGATCTGTGATAAAATTATTCGCTGAAGTATGTATGTGCCGTGAGTTGAAGGATGGGGATCTCTTAACATTGTTCTTCAGGCAGATCAACTCCAATGAATGCACACCTTCAATCAAGTATTGGGTCTTATATACAGAATAAGAGACGCAAGAAAAATATGATGCAGGCTAAAATTGTGGCATGCTTCTTTTTGCGAAAACTTCTTATAAAAACACGAAGTTGGATTTTATAGGAGAATTTCTAGGCACTCTCCTTCTAAACTAATCAGCAAACCCAGATTTGTGGGCTCCAAGTAAGTAATTCAATTTGAGCTTCTTATTTAACTGTCAAATGGTACAGTGCAAATCTTTCCTATCAAGTTCTGTGACAATGAGGAAGCCATTGGCTGAAGTCATCGACAAGTGCACTTTCTACTATTTTGCGAAACATGATTGTAAGTGAATACTGACGTTTTATACCAGAAAGTTGCATCCTCGCCCTCAACCTCACTCTCACCCTCACCTGCCTCTGGAAACTGTAATAGAAGGAATTCCGAGCTCACCTAAATCCATCGTGGCAGCTACCCGTCGTGCTAGTTCCACATCAATGTATGGTGAGTACTACTAGATATCCAGTAATTTGACCTAGGATTATTGAGTCGATAATCATGCTTTTGTTTAAACACACGAAAATTGTCTGAATACGGGGTGTCCGGAAAATCATTGACCAAAAAGTAAATTGAATATCTCCACCCCATCACAATCGGGAAAGCTCATTTTTTTGCCTAAAAATAGAGGCGTGCT